GTAGTTTCCATCGTCGGGTCGGCGATGAATGCCCAGCTTTTTCTACCCGAAAGGGCAAGGGGCGTTTAAGAAAGATGCCCCCGCCAGCGCCTCTGATTCTGAACGGGAGAAGTAACAAAAGAGCAATCCTAGTCCAACCTGCGGAGCCCTCACCACTAGAGTCACCCGAAGCCGCGTATCAGATGATTCAGGCTCAACTTCAACGTTTCGAGGAACCGAACCGGGATTCTGTGGATAGTGAAGGACAACGCCTGGCATTGCTAGAGAACCTGGAGCGCGAGATGGGTCAACTTCAAAACAAATGGCAGTCTACACAGAATCTCCTTCAGCGCGATTCTATGTCGAGTATCAAGACTTCCCCGGCGAAGGATTCACGTCCTCCTTCGATTATCGGCGAACGAAGAGCATCACGAAAAACACCTATGCGAATCGGAATTGTTCGATCTAAAGACGAAAGCAGCACAGGCACACCCTCATCTCAGAGCTCCGGAACAAGTTCTGAAAACACCCGTTCTAGTCAGTGGCAAGCCCGTCTCGCCAGTGCTCAGACAGAAGAAATAGAAGGCACACCCGACTTGATTATGAAACACAACAACCTCAACTTTCTATCTGTTTCTAAGGCTGCACTAGGCAGTCCAAGCCCGCCTGATACCGAAGAATCTGAATACGAGAGTGAACTCCCCATGAGCATACAACCACTGGGCCCAAGACTATCTGCAGCAGTAGCGCAGATTCATGAACTATGGAAACCGCAGTCGCCCGCTCAGCGCCTGGTTAGCACAGGTCTCTGGGCTGGGGTGGTAAAACAGTCCCAGGCAGTCATTGGAAATCTTGAGCTTCCGAGCCAACCACTACGTTCGGTAAGCAGAAAGACCTGGGCCCCATTGGCTATAGAGAGCTCTCGACTATGGAAAAAGACCACACAGAGCAACAATACGGCAGTTTATAATGGTCTGTGGAAGAAGTATACACCGTCACAGAATCTGGAATTCAGCCGTGCTGTTACTCGTCCGGTCACTATTCGCCCGCCTCGGAGAAGCAAGCGCGTGTCTCTCCTACCTGATATTCTAGAAAACCCCGTGCCCTTACCTGACAAGCAGGGAACTTTAGGTCTCTTTCAGTTTCCTTGGGGCGAGAGGAGTGAAAGTGCCAGCATTCAACTTCCGCCACCTACCCGTATGTTCACGGCCATGCCAGGAACTATGACTACGGGGGCTCTAGTCACGAATGCTTTCTCAAACACTAGGTCAAGTCAGCCGGATGCCGAAGAATTCACAACATCCTTCTTTGACGACTATGAAGCCGAGGAAGAGGGTGATAACTTTGATAACTTCGAAGACTTCGCAGATAGCGATGGCGATGATTTCGACGAGAACACCCTGTGGGAGATTGCAAGCTTGCTTAGGACTGAGGTACCCTCGAGGGATAGTTTACTCCTTGCACAACGGGGTTCCCCATCCGTCAATTCTCCTGGATTTGACGGCGACAATATTGATACGATTATGGATGACTATAATGCCGATGGCATGGTCCTAGAGGATCCGATACCGATAGATCAATCCTATATCTCGATTCCTGACCCTACTCCTTCTCAAACCCTACTGTGGACAGCCCAACTGAAATCCTCCGAAACTCGTCATACCCTTGGTCTGCCCCAGCCAGATTCGGCAACCTGGGAGAGTTATAAAACAGAACCCAGAGGAAAGTCTAAGTCAAACCACCGTATTAAAACTATCATGTCCATTGAAAGCATCCATCTATGGAAGCCGAGGGCCGGGGGTATCGACCTCAACACTGGGCTGCTCTGGAGTGCGTGCAAACCAGCTCATATCCCTTCGCAGACAACGAAGGTGACTGAACCTACCCAGTCGGCATCACTATGGGCCCTGCCGATTGCCGTTATAGATTCAGAAGAACAAGGCCTGTTTGACGTCAGCCGCCCAAGGGAGGATTATCGAAGAACCTCAAACGAGCCTGCTGCACTTTTCATGAAAAAGAAGCCTCGCACAGTAGAAATGCCACTGGAAAAGCTGGTATCAAGAGCACTTTGGACAGCTAATGGCCACGTGGTCCAATTTCCATTACTATGGAAAACCCCAGCTGCGGTTGCCGTCTCTGAGCATGATGGTTTATTTAACGTCAGCATAGTCAGATCCGACTATCGCAGGACTGTGAAAGAGCCCGCCGCTATTTCCATGGGGAAAACGACCTCCCGCGTGCTAGGAGGGCCGTTGGCAAGTCTTCAAACGAATGATCTCTGGACTAAGGAAAGCGTCTCGCAGCCCACTCGTGGTGCTGAGCTGTTCTTATTAAAGATGTCCGCCATGAAAACTTCCCAGCCAATTGAGACTGAGGCCATGCCTAAATTTCAGACAGCGTTGTTATGGGAGAAGCCGAAGATAAGCGCAGCGCCAGAGCATGAAGGTTTATTTGATGTCAGTGCTACAAGATACGATTACCGGAGGACATCCAAAGCCCCAGCTGCGATTGCGATGCCCAAGAAATCTCGTTCGAATAAAGAGCCCTTGCCTTCAATCACGACGACTAGTCTATGGACTAGAGAGACCCCAGCCCCTATCGTTGAGTTGGCTGTACCTTCAAAGGTTTCATCGCCGAGCCGGACAAATCTATTGTGGGAACAGTTTAACTCACCGGTCCTCGTGTCAAATTACGAAGGTTTATTTGACGCGAATGTTGTCAGGATAGATTATCGCAGGACCTCCAAGCTTCCGGCCGCTATCAGCATGACTCAAAGGACTCGCAAGATGGGAGAGTCCCTTACAACTCTCACGAGCACGAGGCTCTGGGCGAAGTCGGTTAAGTCAAGTTACGCTTCTACCAAGACGATTTCTCTATGGAGTAAGCCTACCGCGCCGGTATCTTTCACATCCGGTCTGTTCCAGCTCGATCCTACTCGCAAGACCTACCGAACTACTTCCGCAGAACCTGTGGCGCTTCAGATGAGTCGAAAGCCTCGCTTCACTAGCACGCCTCTTCCGATAATTAAGTCTTCTCGTCTTTGGAGCAACAGTCAGATCACTTCGGTTGAACTGGACTGGATGATTATTTCATCTGTGCGACCCAGAAGTCCATCCGTCGCTTCTATATCCACAGTGGACTCGTTGCCCATATCCCCCGTATTAGATTCATCATCAGTTAAGACGAGTATCACAAAAGCATCATCAGCTAAAAGTACTGGCAGTATCTTGAGTGGCTGGTTTGGCAAGAAGAAGGTCTCAAAGACTCCCGAGATGCCTGAGTTACCCTACGAATTTACCGTAAAGAACTTAGATGAAATACCCCAGAAGAAGCCAACACACACCCCCCTTCGCCAATTATACCGTCCTAGCATCGCATATCGCGCGGACTGGGATAGCGCGCTACGAGAAGCTATCGTAGATAGCTACCCTGGTTCTATGGCCGCTTTGAGAGCTTCTTACCCTCAGAACTGGTATAGTGAGCTCCAAGCAGCCGTTAAGGCAAGCCACGTATCACCCAAAATTACCCGCAAAGTTGCGTCTCCTCGGGACTGGTCTAATGCGCTTCATGTCGCGATCATTTCTTCCTACCCGGAGACTAGGTTTTCACGAGGCCAGGCCTTACCGTCGCAATGGAATGCTGCACTCCAAAAAGCTATTGCTCGAAGCGGAGCAGCTCAGCCCTCTAACTTCGATGTTGCTGTTCGACATCCCGTATTCATGGGCACGATGGAAACGACAGCAGAGACGATCCACCCGGCGATCGGTCCGAAGACGTTGAAGCGGAAGGAAAGTACCAAGAAGCAGGCAAAGAGCAACATAGCTATCATGTCAACCCCTCTGCTCTGGGAGAAACCAGTTGAGGAAACGGTTCCTGTTACAAATAATTTATGGTCATCAAAGCTCATGACCAAGACAGCATCCTACTTCGAAGCCGAGCTGGACACGGTGCGTCACGATCTGCGAAAATTCAATAAGATAACTCAGAGGTCCGCGTTTGATATCGAGCCTAACTTCAGCGAGCAAGGCATGTGGAGGCGTGACAACAGTAACAACCAAGGAAGAGATTGGCTAGAGGATTCAATGAAGAAGCGTTTTAAGCGCGTCGAGCTACGGTACTAAGAGTTTCGAAAGGGTTGGTGTCAAGGAACGTTACGTAGGAACCAATATATATACCCCCCAATACTGTACAGCATCTAATAGCAGAGAGCCGCATCATATCATCATATCATATCATATCATTCTTTTATCCTCTTTTACAGTCTTTATACTGCATTTTTAGCGGTTGGGGGCATGTAATGTATCTAGCGCAGCGTCACGCTTGACGAAGCCTATATGGCAAATTCGAAAAAGTTTTTATGTTCAATAGTCTTGTGAATAGATGCCATGCTACCTCGCGTCTCCAAACTTAGTGCATTTCGATTTGAGGGTTGTATTCCTACGAGTAGGGAGGGGAGATAAATATGAACTATCGGCATTAATTGTCTACCAACGAGAAGAAATAATTATTTTACTAACTCGACGCAGCGGCTCATCGACGGGGAATAATCTGTTTACTTGGCTGATGTCGGCAACTTTCACCCACCAACAAGAAGGGGGGTTTATAACTATGTGTATTCCGTGCAGACTCCCCACTCCTATCTGTCACCAAACTTCTCTCTCAAAATATGAAAAATGGCTAAGTTCGTATATGCGAATGAAGAACTCTTCAGGAGCGCAGTGCCGTAGTGCAGTTAAGAGTACAAGAAAGCAATTATGTATTTATATGCATATGTACTTTTAAACCAACAATTACTCGAGCCGGGAAATGTGGAATTTACACTACTGCCCACTGGGATTCGGAGATTGCCCCCCCGTCAGTCAAGGAGGTCAATGAATTGACATTCAATACGACTATAGCAGCTAGGGATATGTGTATAATTAAGATATAAGCCATAATCCCATAATAAGCAATTCGTTAGTAGCTTTAAATAAACTACCTATGCGTTAGGTGTCTTGTTGAATACCAACTAACTAGCTAATATGCGGTCTGTCATCTCTCTCTGCCATGTCTCCTTGGCAGCAGTTGTGCTGGCTATCGCCAATAGTGGAAGCACGCCGCTCTATAAGGATCCATCGGCTGCAGTTGAGGATAGAGTGGCCGATTTACTGTCGCGGATGACGATTGAGGACAAGGCTGCTCAATTGGTCCAGGGAGACTTGAGGGACTGGATCAATACCGGAGATGGTAGTGTAAACCAAACCGGTCTCGAATGGAGTATGAAAGTGAGAGCCGGATCATTCTACGTTGGTATTGCCATACCATGGAAAATGCTCAGTGGTGGCATCAGGACCGGCCAGGACTATCTCGTGCAGAATACGACCCTCGGTATTCCTGCGTGGGTTCAATCCGAGGGCATTCATGGCTTCTTGATCCCAGGTGCTACTATCTTCAACTCACCTATCGCCCACGCATGTTCCTTCAACCCATCTCTAGTTGAGAAGATGGCAAGGGCTATTGCTCAAGAAGCTCGCGCCTTAGGGGTTAATCAAATCTTTGGGCCTCTCGCTGACTTAGCTCGTGAGCTACGGTTTGGCCGTGTGGAGGAGACATTCGGAGAGGATGGTTACTTGTAAGTGCGTGTATCAGTGCAGTGCCATTGGACATAATATTAAAACTTTTCTTAGAACTGGTGAACTAGCCTATGCCTACGTAAAGGGTCTCCAGTCGGGTAACGTATCAGCTATGGTTAAGCATTTTGTAAGAAGTCCTATCCTGGATTTGGGAGTAGCAAAACCTAATATAGCCAGGCGGCGTTCGCGACACCAGAGCAAGGTATTAACTGTGCTCCTGTGCATGGGGGCGAAAGAGAGTTACGCACTACATACCTTCCTCCATTCAAGCGATCGATCATAGACGCCGGTGCTTTGTCCGTCATGTCAGCTTACCACAGCTATGATGGAATTCCGGCCGTTGCCGATAGGCATACCCTTACCGATATCCTAAGGGATGAATGGGGTTACAAGTACTTCGTGAGCAACTTCTGGAGACTGCTTATGCGATACATTCTAATAAAGCTAGGTTATGAGCGATGCAGGAGCTACGGACCGCCTGTGTAAAGATTTCAAGATGTGCAAATCCGACCCAATTGATTCTGAAGCTATAGTCAACTATGTATGTTTCCCAACCACACTCTTTGACCTGACCTAGAATCCATTTTTAATATCTCCCAGGCGCTACTTGCGGGCAATGATGTTGAAATGGGCGGCGGATCCTTCAACTTCGAGAAAATCCCTGAAATGGTCAAGTCAGGAAAGCTGTCCACCGAAGTAGTAGACGAGGCCGTGTCCAGACAACTGCGCGCAAAATTCAAAGCTGGCTTATTCGAGAATCCCTTCCCCGGTGTCTCGGATGAAGATCAGTCCAAATACATCAATGCCTCTGAGGTAGTCGAGCTTGCAAGAGAGCTCGACGCTGAATCTATTGTCCTGCTGGAAAATCATGGCAACCTCCTTCCTCTCAAGAAAGATGCAAATATTGCCGTTATCGGACCGATGGCTCACGGTTTCATGAATGTTAGTGGGATAAACCCCTTAAAATCAATGACGATGCGAGTACTAACAATTATGATAAGTACAGCGACTATGTCCCCTATAAGGCCCAGTATAGAGGAGTTACACCGCTAGACGGTATAAAGGCAGCGAGTACGGGGAAAGTCACGTATGCGCAGGGTTGTGAGCGCTGGTCGAACGACCAATCTGGCTTTTCTGAAGCCGTGAACGCAGCAGAAGAGGCCGACATAGCTGTTGTGGTCGTAGGTACATGGTCGCGCGACCAGGATGAGTTTTGGGACGGACTAAACGCCACTACTGGCGAACACGTCGACGTCCATAATCTAAATCTCGTCGGTGCCATGCCACACTTAGTTAAAACCATCATTGACAGGGGGAAGCCTACTGTCGTCGTTTTCAGTTCGGGAAAACCCATCACCGAGCCTTAGATATCGGATGCAGCTTCGGCCTTGTTGCAGCAGTTCTATCCATCTAAGCAAGGAGGACACGCTTTAGCGGACGTGCTATTCGGTGACGTAAACCCGTCTGGGAAGCTGTCCGTCTCATTCCCTTATGATATCGGAACCACGCCAATCTATTATGACTATCTGAACTCTGCGCGGGCGTATCCCGATTCCGGTTCTGTCTCCGAGGACGGTTCTATGAAATTCGGCCATGACTACGTGCTTCAGAGCCCTTTACCGCTTTATGAGGTATTATTAACCCCCCGTTTCTAACTCCATTCGACGAGTGCAACTATATAGCAGTACTTTGCTCTCTGATATATATCGCTAACACAGCAAATGCGAATTTAGTTCGGCTACGGCAGGTCTTATAGTACTTTCGCATACTCGCACATGACGCTCTCACAATCTACCGTGTCCCCAACGGACACTATCACGGTATCTATCGACATTACCAACAACTCGACGCGCGACGGCGCCGAGGTAGTTCAACTATACGTTCAAGACTTAGTGGCTAGTGTTGTGGTGCCTAACAAACAGCTTCGAGGCTTCTCCAAGGTCTTCATACCGGCTGGTGCTACTGAGACGGTGAAAATTGATATTACCGTTGCTAACTTGGGGCTCTGGGATATAGGTATGAAGTACGTTGTTGAGCCCGGCGAATTTACTATTCATGCCGGTAGCTCGAGCAACAACCTCAGGACCAATGTTACCTTTACTGTTGTTTAGGTGAGTAAATAGGACGGTAGTCAACGGGACTACCAGCTTAAATTTCATCTATAAGTACACTCACTACTTCGATGAGCTACTGTTTCTTGACCATATACGAAATTGTGATCCTACGAGTAACAACTGCTTCAACCAGAACCAAAAGAGGCCAGGTTAGGTATCAGCTCGGTCATATGCTGTAGTATCAATAAGACATTTATAATTACCTTATAACTCATTATACCTACATGACCAATGATTGTAATTACATTATCAACCACCTAAACAACATCCAGTTACCCTCACGTAAGTGCAAAAGTATTGCTCGTCCCATTAAAAGCCGTGATAGCCCCACCGATCAAAGCCTTGCTATCACCGTAATACTTTATCCTATACGTCCCCGCTTCAGCATCTGGCTCCGTCTCCCAGCTGACAGTAACCTCGCTGTACCCTAGCACGGTATTGGTCCGCTTCCACGTATATACCAGAGACCAGTCCGAGTCGTCCCGAACCTGCGTCCAAGAATCTCCATCCTGCTTCTCGACAGCCGTAAACGTGCCATCGAGCCGTAAGTTATTGCGCGGGTTTGCCCCGACGAAGGTCGCGTTAACGACGGCGCCGCGCACATATTTCTCTGCGGGCTGCGAGACAATATCGCCGAAGGATTTACCCAGCGGCGCGTTGTCCTGCACGACACCCGTGATGAAGCTAAGGCTACTGTTGCGGTTATCCGGTGGCGTCGGCCCGGGGTCTGGCAAGCTCGACGAGTCAGGGGCTAGGTACTGGATATTGCTGACGGTGAGATTTATATACGCGGGAAGCTCCCACTGGCCGAAAAGCGTGCTGGCTCCCTCGTAGCGCTGGATGCCGTACTCCTCCGGTGTAGCTATGTAATGCGCATATGTGTTAGCAGGCCCGCCCAGTATAACCTTCGGCTCAGTATCTACGATGTCGGCCGCGGCAGCCTTGACAGCGGCGCGCCATCTACGCCCAGCCATGGTGGTCGCCTCACCAGGACTCACGATTATGACGAATTGACCGACTCGGAGTAGCTGGACGTCAACGATATTGGGACTCCACTGGTAAGGCTGGGACAACTCGCCTACATCGAGGAGGACAGGCTTGGGATTCTGACAAGCTTGCTGCTGAGGTGATGGAGCGCGGAGTAGGCTCTTGATCACCTCCCAAATTGGGCTGGCGCTCGGCTCACCCGAATCGTTTTGTGTAAAGTCAAAAGCGCCAGGGCCGTCTGACGTTCCGGCGGCGAAGGAGTAACCTAGCGCAGCCGGGCACGTCTGGGCTTCAGTTCCGTTCTCCAGCTGAAATTTCCAAAAGCTCATGTCGTGGTAGAAGTGGAAAGCTTTAACCGTCGATCCAACAATAGGGGTGCTGGACGAGCCAAACGAGTCCTAGCACGAGATGAGCTATGACCAGATATTGACAAGGAGAACATTTATCTTACATAGACCGACCTAGCACCATCATATTGCCGTTTCCCGATCTCGTAGCAACTCGCAATCCCGAGATCGAGCTTATCAAAGAGAGGCCCTCGGCCGTGACAGTGTTGCGATTTACCGTCTGCACAAGTACTGTTCTCTAAGCTACACTGCTGGCCCGATCCATCATCGCACCTAATACGAAAGTTATTATTTCCCGTTGCTTTGTTACAGGATAAGACAGGCTTACCATGCGCCAAGTGTGTTAGGGGTCGTGTCTCCGACATTCGCTTGAGAAAACCCAGCGACAAAACCGCTAGCTGCTGAGTCTTCGCCCTCCATAGCTTTCTCGAACATAACCTCTGCTACTCCTTTGTTATCGCCAGCCACGTGAGTGCTATTTTGGTAAATCGAGGTTCCGTGAACAGGATACCACGTCAGAATACCGATATTTTTGCCGTCAGACGCTCGCTGGAACTTAAGGACGGTCATCTCCTTATCAACATCGTCCTCATATTGAGCTCGTTCTTCGGCAGGGTTAGCCAAGTAAGCGTATAGACTCCGACTAAGGTTGCCATCCGTAATATTCACCGCGCCTATTGATATTATTAGAAGGGTCCTACGTAGTAAGTATTTTATCCATACCGAAGTCGAGATATCCCTAAGCATAAAATATTAGTAACTACTAGATTACTAGATCTTGGTCTGACTCATTTCTTTGCCTACCTCAGTCAAAGATTCGTGGGCTCTCTTGATCGACAAGACAGCGCCATCGACGATGGCTTGATAACTCTGCCTGTCGAAGCCTAAACTGGTTATCTGCGGTAGCAGATAGTTAAACCACGCACCAGGTCCGGAATGGGCGTGCGTCCCTGTCACCGCGACGTTGCCCTTCCCATACACGGCGAAGTCATCACCAAGCGCAGCGAGACCATCTAGAATACCGAAGCGCACAGCCGTATCACCAGATTGTGTGTCAAGAACCAAGTATGCGAATCGATCTTCCGGATTGTTAACATCTCCAATTATAAACGCTCGCGAATAGATACGCTGTCGGAGCCCGGTACCGGTCTGCGAGAGATCGGCGTAACCTGCGAAGTTGATTTCCACCACAGGTCCAGTTATGTCGGCTTTCCCCACTCCAATTAGATATTTGTCTCCCTTTCCGTCTGCCCTAGTCTTGGATTCCCACCGAGTGTTCGTACCGGCCGCGTGTGAGTCTGCCGTATGCCGAAATTCGAAGCTGTGCTGCGGTGGTGCAGAACCGAGCTTTGTTGCGAGGAATGTCCCCAGGATAAAAATGGAAAAAACGGAGAGGAAGACCAGTACTGGTCTTCCTGATGTTCGGCGGCTAGGGGCATACGTTGGAGCCATAGTTGCGGATTTTGGTGTTTTGCTAACCGCTCCTATTTCCGAGCAACAAAGTTCAACCTCATAGCTCTCTTCCCATCTCGCTGTTTGCCAACTTAGTTGCTTTTATTCATGGGCCAGAAAGGAAAGAGATAAGAGACAGCTTTTAGAACATGTCTAGCCTTGGTTCCTTTTCCCGTCCAGGATGCAACGTTAATAGGAGATAGCTACGTAGATATGTGTACAAACAAGAAGACAGACCTAGGAACAGACCAACCATGTTGAACAGCTTCCTAATGGAAACCTTGTAATGGGCCCTGCATCTGCATCCGGCTACCCGTAGATGCCGGGCAGGTGAGGGCCATATACCTACATACTGTACTAGTGCATGTATAACCAAGTGCGGTGTGTGACATCATGAGCTGAAATCGAGGGCAGCGGGACATATCAGGGACACACAACATCACATGCGTCCCAGGTAGTACGATTAGATCGGGGTTAATCTCAATATTAATCTCAATAGAGGTCCACAGGCCTCCTCGCCAAGCGAATATAGTCTACATGGTTGGTAGATAGGAGAATAAGGCAGGTCACTAGAGAAATGCGCGGGGTTAAACCAAGTATCAGTATAATGAGCTAGGTTATACCATGGCATTTCCAACAGGAATCTGCTAACCCAATATTATCTCGAGATTCCTCTCGTTCGTTTCCTTAGCCAATGATGATCTGATCCCGGAAGGAATCTGAAGGTAAATAAATTGTATCTGCATGTCCCTCCGCCCTGGTGACCACTTATTGGATATCCGAGCGGAGGCTATGTCAGTTCTCATTTATCCTAATGTTAGCCATGCCAGAAGTAATCCTGAATTTTCTAACAAAGCAATACAAGATCGGGCGCAACTTTATGTTCATACTGAATAGCTTACCATTGACGGTCTCGAAATAGGAAGCTCTGGAGCGGTACTTTCAATGGTTTTTTGCATAGTAGGACGTATTCCACCACACCCATGAAGAAAAGTCATGGAGAAGACATAGATAAGCTATGCGGAGATTCCAATTACCCCAACATGGACATATTCGTGGACATGTTCGTATGGCGGGGCCACGGGAGATCCACACACCCTTTTATCTGGTATGACGAGTCGCGCAACTTGTTAAATCGTCTGGTGACTCGTCCTTGATGGAATTGTGAAACATATAAATACCTGTTTATACACCACCGTCAACGGCTTCGGCTAGGCTGCCGATGTGAAGGTGTGTAAGTGTTGCGAGTAAACGACAGTAACTGACATCCTAAAAGTAGGCAATGTAAAACACCAAAAAAGACATTGATGAATGTTTTCGGAAGCCAAAACACAATAAATATATATTTATTTGGGTATCTAACGTCTATAATAACGTATTCTATATATATATATATATATACATGTCTGAGTCTTATACTGTAAACCAACTACCGTAGAGGCAAGTATAGAAGCGCCGTCTTGATAGGTAGAATCAAACTCAATCTACTTGGTCATATCTGGTAAGTGGTCTAACCTAGCCTCTTCTACATCGCATTTGTTGTTAATTCTTTAGAGTAACTCCTCGATTATCCCAGCCCAATGATCCAATTTTTGCGCGAAAAGACCATTCATTCAAGCCCAAATACTACAGTGCAATACCTTCACACGCCTACTGCTCTACTTAAAGACATGAACTTACGCCCCGACTCTAGCTACTCGTTGCTGGTGCTCGGGTTGGGGTGTTAATCTTCTCGAAATATCGGGTATTCCGACACGATCCGCCATTCGGTCCGGTACGAGATCTGGAGACACTGATCGGATAGGGTACTCGGTAGCCGGCGTTGCAAGCAGGAGACGAGAGGTCATGGGTTGAGGTGCCAGAATGGTGGGGGACTGGACCTCTTCGATCACGGTCTTGGGAACTGGTCCCGGCCCTGTTCGAATGCTCGAGGGCAGAATTTGTTCGAATCCTTGTTTTCTTGCAACTTGTTCGATACTCTTGAAATACTGCGGCGGTACTTAGCTAACTGGTTATAGATTGCGTCTCTCGGGTATGCTTACCTTAACAGTCTTAACTTGTAGTTCTAATGTGGCATCCTCATCGCAAACTATCATGGGGTGGGGATGTAACTGGAGACTCGAAAGGGTCCACATGTGGTTGACACCCTGCTCGATGCATTTTTGTAGAGCGAGAGCCTTGCGAGCGCCGAGGATAATGACGACGACCTCTCGGGCCTCGAGAACAGTCTGGACACCAACTGTTAAGGCCATCTTAGGGACCTTGGCGATGTCGTTGCTAAAGAAACGGGAATTGGCAAGAATAGTATCGTAGGCTAGTGTCTTGACACGGGTTCTCGAGGCTAAACTAGAGCCCGGTTCGTTGAAGGCAATATGTCCATCTTCCCCGATTCCGCCCAAGAATAAGTCAATGCCTCCGACACGCTTGATCTTGGCCTCATACTCAACGCATTCTGCCTCGAGATTCGGCGCGTTACCGTTGAGGATGTTGACATTATTTGGGTTCACGTTGACGTGAGAGAAGAAGTGTTTCCACATGAATGAGTGATAACTCTCTGGATGGTCTCGAGGAATACCGACGTACTCGTCCTATTTTTAGGACATTCAGCACATTAGATATTTAGAGAATAGATGAGGTTGTTTCATACCATGTTGAAGGTAACAACATTCTCGAAGGAGATCTGATACCTTCTAGTCAGCCCCCGCTTGGATATCCTAAGCTAGAGATTACCTACGTTTCCGGCCTTGTACTGCTCGACTAATATCTTGTATACACCAAGAGGACTCGAACCAGTAGGGAGGCCAAGCACGAAGGGATGTGAAGGGGTGGGATTGAAGTGTCGAATTCTGTTCATGATATAATTAGCTACATAAGAGCTAGCAGTTTCCGAGTCGTCGCGGATGATAAGCCTCATTTTGAGAGATATTACACCCGAAATATCAAGTTGTAGATGATGTGATAGCTAGTGGTAGCTAGTAAGAGCTGAGACTGGGGTGGGAAGATGTAGTTGTAGTTTTTGCAACCCTTTCTAAGAAAATAGAAAGATACGAAAGCCTTGAGCAGTACAGGTTTTACTGTCATTATGAGCAACAGTCTCATAGTGGCAATGGCCCATGATGGGAAAGGCCTCAGCGGGATAGCATCGGACTCTACGGTCGGTGATGGAACGTTGGCCCGGATTGGCCCGTTCTCCACCGTGACGATAGCGAACTTGCGCTTGTGACTAGGGAGGCTCGTTGAACGTTGTAGTAACCTGTCCATCAACTGTTTTAGGTCATGTGGTGCTCCGGACTATCTGGTTGGCTGCCCTCGGACACTGTGAGTCGCAAGTCCTGACCAACCATAACGTCAATATCTAGTTTGATAGACAAGACATTACATACTCCATCCCCGAAGATCTTGTCTTCGCATAGTGATCGCGAAGGGGGGGGAGGGTAATGTAAGAAAGCATGATAATGCTGGTAAGCCGAAAAGCTACCAAAGATGATGTCTTTCTTTCTTTTTTTTTTTTTTTTTTTTTTTTTTTTTTTTTGACGAGCCTCTGACATCTGAGCTAATGCAATTCGACATCATGTTTCCGGGTAGTGGGGGCCACAAAGCCAAGCCAGGAGGGACTGGCCTCTATTCGTTCTCCTCAGCCTTAGGTCAACGGCATCGAGCGACGAATATGTATATAAATTATTTTCTTTTAATATATATATTTTTTCATGAGAGCCGCAGAGCTGGACTAGGAAAAATCAAAATATCTAGCCTACCTAGGTACCTAGGTAGGTAGCCAAGCAGAGCACTACCGGGAACATAATTAATCTCTTCCTAGGACATTACCGGCTAAGTTTGAAAGAATTGAAAAATAACTAGATGAATCTAGAAGACGAATTTGCGTGATTCGCTCGAGCAAGATGGGAAACCTCTGCAAGGGTAGTAAGGGTAGACCATTGGACGTTTCTCTCGAAGCCACACCCGTGGGATTATACTACCCTACTATGCAATGCCTTATTCGTAGGATTCAAAAGTTTGCACACAGTAGTATAATAGGGATAGTAGGGAGAATGCTGTGTAAGTTGTTAAGGCCATCTTTGCTAAGGACGGCTCGGTATCATGCAAGCGCCATGTGGCTCGTGCATGGGAGAGCGATCCTTGCTCTTTTTAAATATGGATCATTAATTCACTAATTCACTAATTGGGAACTTGGACCTGGAAGGTAGGAAACTTCACAACAGAATTCTAGAGCCTACAACGTTACATCTAGAAACATTGACCCAGAATGGCAGATATGCACAACAACAACCACCAAGGTGAGACAATGTGTACCGTTATGGTTCCTCCTCCTCCTCTTCTTCCTGCTCTGTAATCGTCTCCTTCCTGTCCTTCCTGATTTCGCCAGCCCATTGGTTGCGCTGTTCGAGCCTAGACCCTGGTCATATTCCATTCTGCGCTGAAGCATCCTACTTACTCTCTTACTATCGTTGTTCGTTGCTACCTATCACGGAAAAACCCACACCAGCCCAGCCTAGCACCCAGCAATTCCTATCTACATAATCTATGTCCTACTTACATGTAGTACCTATGGTATGTATGTAGTATATTATGTGCGTGCGCGCTCGTTGCTTCGACTAGTATTATAGCTGCTACGTGAGTACCACCAAGCTAGGCAAGCAGAAGTAACCCTCAATATCACCAAGATCCCAAATATCACACCAGCATCTCGAAGTCACCTGCCCAGTCTAGGACACAGTGGCGCTGGATCTGCCTGCGGCCCACTTTCTTAGCATCCCGTCCCGTCCTATTCCATATCGCCGGGGCGTCTACTGCTACTATTATCGTCCTTGGTTATTGTCCATGTTTATGTGGTTGTTGTTGTTGTTGTTATTGTATCATTCTTCCCTTTCGTGTTGTGTGGTAGCAGGACCCTGGGACTTTCTTTACAAGCATACCTAGAGCTACGTTCAATCAGGGGCGTGTGTTTTAAGGTTGAGTCCCTCTCAGCTCACTTCATGTGTCTATCTCGACATACTACATACTCCCGTCTCGAGCGTAACCGTTATTTCCTCGTATCAATCTCTGTTAAAGTTTAGCTGCCATTCGCTACTATTGTACCCCTTCGTTCGTGCTGTAACCCATTGGGTCTTACCAGAACCCCCCCCCCCCGGACTCTCAAACCCGGTGTCTTGGCTCTTTATTCTTTACTTTCTCCTGGGATCGTGCATTGCTAGATCCAACCAACGGGGTCACCTCGTTAACTTCGAATTTGACCGGCAGGTTTCATTTCTGCCGCTCTAGCCTTTTCCCGCCTATACGAGCCCTGACGCGGCCCTAAGGAAACATTTCACTCTCTTGTCTCTAATTGCCTGTTTCTACTGGAACATGACGAATGCTGCTTGAAGGCGAGACCGACATCTCGTCTTTGGATATCAGCTGCCTTTTTTTCTCACCACGTCCGCCTATGTTACCTTCATGACTTATATTTATCCCCAACTAGATCCGCAAACCCGTACGTTGTCATGCAGCCACTCACTTCTGCAATGACTACGTTGAAAAAATCGCTATTAGCGGCTCTAAAGTCGTTTCTGCGCGGGAGGTCCTTCTTACAGGCCCTCCTTGCGTTTTGGGTCAGTCCAAGGGCTTTGAAGGAACACAATGTCGACGGAAAGATATACCCGTCGAGAACTCTCGAGCAATTCTTAGAGGAGGCAGAGAAGCTCTTTTTAGGTCCTATTGATGGGGACGGACTGAGCAGGTATTCGTCAAACCTCAAGCGTCAGTTTCGGGAGCGGTTGCATACCCATACGGAATGCATGCTTCCGTCGTTCAACCACCTGCTCCCGACTGGAAAAGAACGAGGCCAATATCTTGCTCTCGATGTCGGGGGTTCGACGCTGAGGGTTTCGCTGGTGGAACTAAGGGGCCGTGAAACAACTGGGAGGGAGAGTGAGATTGTTCGGATGGTTAGCTTCAAGATTACACCAGAAATTAAGAAGCTCGAGGGGATGAGTTTCTTCGACTGGATGGCAGCTCGTATCTACGAGGTCATCCAAAAAGACATCTCACATGATCAGGGCGTAATACCAATGGGCCTCGCCTGGAGTTTCCCCGTAGAGTACGTATACCTTTCTCGGTCTTGATATATACTAGTGCTAACAACTCGCTTTAAGACAAGTATCGATGGGCAGTGGCCTTCTGCTTGGCATGGGTAAAGGTTTCCTAGCTACTAATGGCCTGCTTGGCCAGGACTTAGGCGAGATCATCAAATTCGCCTGCAAGAAGCGAGGCCTTAATGTTCAACTTGAAGCAATTGTAAATGACAGCACAGCAACATTATTATCTCAGGCCTACATCAACGCCTCGACGCGGTTCGGCCTGATCCTGGGAACCGGCACTAACATCGCAGTCCACCTGCCAGTGTCGGCGTTCAGCCGGTCTAAATACGGCAAACGCCCAGACAGTTGGTTCGAGTCAGCCAGCCACGTTATCGTGAACACGGAACTAGGAATGTTCGGGAAGGATATACTGCCCTTAACACGGTGGGACAAACTCCTGAGCGCTGCCCACCCACGACCCGACTTTCAGCCACTTGAACACTTACTTAGCGGCTACTACCTTGGAGAGATCTGTCGGCTCGCTATAGTCGACGCCGTCGAGACCGTTGGACTACTAGGTGGTCAGTTACCACCATCCCTAGAGAAGCCGTACTCGCTGGACACAGAATTACTATCAAAGATCGAACAGTTAGTACCACGTGACGGACCTGGTTAATATATGTGAAGCTTGAACTAACGCATACACTTAGGGATACGTCACCTACTCTTGAAAAGGCCATATCGCAATTTACAACGCATCATCCCTCCACTACATCGCCTACCCTCTCCGACATAACCGCAATCCGTACCTTCGCAACATATATATCACGACGATCCGCCGCCCTCCTAGCTGCGTCCGTGTTCTCGCTCTGGGAGCTACGACACGAGACGGAAGCCGAACTTGCCGCGGCATCTCCTAAACCCACACCCTCGAATGATAGCGCCGTAGTCCTACCGTCGCCTTCCATCGATGAGGAGTTGAAAGAGGTCGAGGTCAGCACAAAAGTGGCATTCAACGGGTCCGTTATCGAGCACTACCCGCAGTACCGCGCCACGTGCCAACGGTACATCGACGATTTGGTCTTGCACAGCGAGCACGTCGGGTCCGTGGACCTGGTCCCGACAGTTGAGAGCTCCATCATTGGCGCCGCGGTTGCGCTCGCGTGTGCCACAGCCGCCGAGGCATAATAATTGGAAGCTTTAATGGTAATACGAAAGTCATCTATCCTGTAAATATTGCATCTTTATATTTTTATTTTCATGTGCTGTTTTCTCCGAAAACGCTTGTCGATGCATTCTACCCGGGGAAGAAACAAGAGCGGAGAGCACAGAGTGCTTGAACTGTCTAGTCATCACTGGGAAGGGTGGCATGTGGTGTTTGGGTTGGTCAAGCGAGCGATCAAGTAAACAAGCAAATGAGTTTTTGAGGCGGGTATATATACTAGAAGGCGTTTACGGCTACATAGCATAATTGAGAGATATCATGGCTCGCAAACGGATCATAACGTGTATTGGTCGGATGTGGCTAGCTACTTGAAGCGGCTAACAATTAGCAGCGCATCAAAACATTAAGTCACTATAAAATACTCAAAAATAACTAAATCCATATTCCTTTAGTATCGTCTAGACCAATTAAGTACGGCAACTAGTATCCCCTTATATTATTCCTTATATTATTATAAATCCCCACACAAGCCTACGAACGAGGTAAGCGTATGATGAGTATATCATCAAAGGGGTATATTGTTGAAGCTAATTTTGTATGCTCGGCCGGTATCCCTTAGAGAGCCAAAGAGGGCAATAAATAAAACACGATGACCCCAACAGTCCCCGCCATATACTACATACACGTATTGAAGTAAAGCATGGTATTTCGGAACGAATATACGCTCATGATACAAATAAGGTAATCCCTCAAAACAAAAAACGCCCAGATGCGTCATGCCGTAATCGTCAGAGCGCTTCGCTTGGTTACTCCGATTAGAATGCCGTTGCTCACTCCAAACTGTTGTTCGCTAAATTAATCTTCTTTTTAGTTATCCGTCTACATTCTTGCTCGAGGAGGGAGCAAATATTCTGTTGGTTATTCTGCCGAGAAATATCTCTTAGACTTATTCCTAATCTGTTGCGCCTTTATTTCTTGTGGCACTGCGATGTGGTGAACTATATGAGGCCGGTATACGGTATCCACTAGAGGTGTCCTATATATAATTATTAACGCCGTTTGTTGGTGAAAAGGGGGGAGGTGGTTGGACTGTGGTATTTACCAATCATCTACGCTTAGCGGGAAATATTCGTATAATTCCTCCTCCTCTTCTATCGGGCTACCGGCAGCGCCATGGCTTGTGGACGTCCGGTGCAGCCTCGGGCTGGTGAGCGAGTCCGAGGTAGAGCGATTATTTGGGCTTCGTTCGTCCTCGGATAGAGACAGATTGATCGGTACGGATGGTGCTGGCGGGTTGCTTTTCGTATGGCTGCCTAGCGCATGCATCTTGCCCAATTCCTTGCCCCAAGACGGAACGGGAGGCCGGTTTATGTTTGGAGAGAGTGCTATCTTCTTGGCTGGATGTGCCTGAGAATTTGTTTGCCCACCATATGCAGGCGTCGAAGGGGTTCCCCAGGAGGGCGTAGGCGTCGTATTGCCTAGAGATGACGATGAATAGTTAGGTAATCCGTGTGAGGAATCTGTCCGCTCTATCTTTAAGTTCGATGCTGTACTTGCGTCGCTATGAGTTCGGGCTCGATCCCCATTACTAGGAGCCTTTTTATCGCCGGTGAGAGGTACGTCCTTTCTGCTATCAAAATTTCGCGGGCTGCGCCCTCGCACAATGACCGGGCCGCTTTGGATTTCTGCAATTTTCATAAACTCTCCACCTGTCTTCATCTTTCCCAAGAGACTGATCTGAACCACATAATGCTGCTGTAGTCCTTTTCGTCGGCCATTGTTTGCCGTTGCGCTCTTGAATTGTAAGCGCTTCCAGGAGACCGGTATGCTGACCCGGTGACCGTCGACTTCCTGGCCGCCGGTCAGGTCGAGAGCAATTTTCGGCGGAGCGCTGGCCACTTTGGTTTCTTGCCCTTCGCCCAACGCCGGATTGCTGCTTTTCCACGGGATAGAAATAATCTCGGTGGACTTGCCCTCGATGCTCTCCTTGGCGGATATCGAAGCGAAGAATTCTATAATAGGTATAGCACGGCCTTGCTCATTTACGACCTGCGTGCAGTGGCGCGGCATGGTTATCTGTCCCGAACACTGCCATAAGTTCCGTCGGTAACACGTCAGCTCTAGAGGCCGACCGCTTGAGTCGCCGCCGAACACATCTTCGGCAACGAAGAACATGCCATATAGCTCCGCAGACATGGATACCTCGGAATATGCGCCTAACGCATCATCTAGGGGGGTAGCTTTCGCGGCCGTCGCGGAGAAGCCAAGAAGCTTGTCATCCAGCTGCTGCGGAGATGACCCTTCATCGTGGAAGTCTTCGGTATGCGGCGCGGCCTCGTATGGTTTCGAGTAGTTGAAGGGATCTTCGAACGTTGTCGAGAAGGTTTCGAAGTCGTAAGAGGGAGTAAAAGGTAAAGGAGGTAAATTGCTATTGACGCTTTCGCTACTTGGATCTTAGCATTGCTACTTACACGAGCTCACGAGCTACTTGTATCTTAACTTTACAACGGTCATCGCCCCCACGGAAATATCACGACGGCAGCGGTGAGATGGATCACCAAGTGTGACTTACAGCATTGACTCATCGAAGTTGAGATCGGGTTCGAAAGGCTCGATGCCTAGGCCGGACCCTGACATAGTATTTAATCCCATGGCGGCGTCTCCTGGACTGGCGCTTGACTGCAGCGCCGGCATGGAGTTGAAAGTTGCCATCGCATCGTAAAGGGCTAATACCCTTTGACCCTTTGCGGCCGGAGGTTGTGCTTATGCTCGTGCTTATGCTGAGGCTGACGTAGACCTGATTACCGAATAGGACGGTGTTAAAAAGTGGGAGGACACGAGGATTAGCATTCACCGTCGCCGGAGCAAGTGGAGCGGTCGCAATGTCAAAGTGTAAGGTTATCAGCGACCTGGTAGATGTTGGAGTTAGGACGTTAGAATAATGTACTTGTGATCTACGACGAAGAGAGCGCAGCGGAGGCGGAGGTGGAGGCGGAGGCGCGAAACAGTCAATTAGGTGATAGCTTTGAGCCAAGAACCAAGGGGGTGGAGGTGGCTGGTCTGTTCACGACCAGGTTCAAGTAAAAGCTATCCCGTTAGGTACAAGCACAAGCGTAAGCACGATGCTTACAGCGAGCGACTTGGTGCTTGGTGCCCAGTGCCCTTGGTGTAGTACATACTAGGCAAAGCTCTGGGGTAATAGACCGGATGATACTTAAATGGGGCTCGATAGGGGTTCTCGGGATCTCTACTACATAATGTATTGTACATAGTAGTAATGTTGGGAATAGAATAGTGCTAAACGTGCTAGACCGTTAAAGGTTCATCGGTGTCTCTCTTCAGTCTTGGAGAGTGGAGCATTACGGACATAGATTCTGCAGATATAATTTCTACCTTCTGGAACGAGTTAAATAGAATATTTGGGTGGGGTGACAGGACCGGCCCCCCTGGCTCCTGGGGAGATATACATATCATCACATTGCCGAAAGACTTTATCTACCTAATCATCAGCCTGCCTAATCATCTGTCATTAATCATTTGCCTCCAACCCAAACCCTCGGTGCTTCTTCTTGCATGTACGTCCGTTCTTACATATTAGAGCTAGGTAGATCGCGTTGTGATGCAAATAATTGTGTTATCAGCCTTGTTATCATTTCTTGTCTATTCGTCGTGAAGATCAAAGCTCAATTAGGGGGAGGGGGAATCCGGAAGGCGGTGCCTGTACATAGTTACGCCGCGATTCTATTTTTAACCAGGGACGGCCGCAACGGGGACTCAAATTCAATCGATCAAATATGTTTTAGGATTCAAAAAAGCTTCAGGAAACATTTCGTGATTGGATAAAAGGCACCCCCTAGGCCCCCAAACTCCAGCTCGCTCGCCTTGAATATAAAATCACAGGAGAGAGACATGTTTCGCAGCTCTTATTAGAACAGAGCGCATTACACACCGGATCCCCACCTACTTCTACTTCTCTAGGTGGAAAAGGGGTACCACAAATGTTGGATTCGGCGAAAGGCTATTCGTTTATTTAATCGGTAACCTCCTACACCGGTCCTGAAAGAGCATTGGTTCAACTTAAGTCAGACCACTGCATAAAACCCACCAGATTAGCAAGCGTGGTTTAAGATTCAGGCGGGATAAATACTCACGTTTTCTGGCGAATTTGTAATCTCGTCGAACGTCTGTTGGATGTCGAAGCCCATGGCCGCAAGTGGCTCGTATGCCTCGTCAAGAACCTAGACATTTTAGCTGCAATGGTCATATCTAATACAACTTCCAAGATTACTTACCCAGCTGAGGATACTCTTTGCAGACTTGTGCGCCTTATTCTGTCTTACGCCCATGAATACTAGCCCTTGCAGGATTAATCTTGACTGTGCTGTAGAAGGCACTATTGGAGCGATAATGCCACCAATATCTTCGCCGCTAGCCGAGTGAAGTGGAGGAATATATGTCGACAGGCGACTTCCTGCTGTGCAGATGATGACTGTTCCTAACAGGTTATCCATTGAATTCTTAGCTCGGACTACTCCACTTGTATTCGTTTCATGTAGTGCAAATCGATAAAGCTCCACGACCTCGGGCCCTGCGTGTGTTGCTACATGGTTTAACACCGACTCGGCGTTATCGAGTCCGTGGATTAAGTCAAAGCTAAGACTCGCCCGCTGAATACTTTGTAGAAGGCCTTCTGGTGCTGTCCAAGCTCCGAGATCTTCGATGGCCATGTTCGTCAGTCGTTTCGGGAACTGTGTATCCCAACCGACGTTGTTAAACCAGCTCTTGTTACTCCCGCTTTCATCGACAGGTACTCCTGGAAACACTCCCGGGAATGTAAGCCCAAGTTGGAGTGTCTTGATACCTGGCTTCTGAAGTAACGCTCGCAACGCACGACGGTGTAGTGACCTGCCAATCGATACATTTCGTTTCGCCGGATCGACAAAAAGAGCGCCAATGGCGCCAACCCCTTTCATGTAATACGTAGCTACGAAACCGTACAATGTTTTTGTGCTACTGTTCCGTACGACAAAGTGTGCCTCCTCAATATGCGTATTAAACAACTCAAATGAATGAGCCCCTGCCGTGAGATATGGAAGACTCGGTGTACTAGAGCGAGCTAGAGTTCTTAGCAGCTCCTCCAGGGCAGCAGCATCTCGCTCGCGGTCGTAGTTCTCAACAAGCCACTGCTGTCTTGTCTTGGAGACCTTCTTACTCTTCCTCATAGTTCCCGGCATCGACCCTTGAGGGATGATCTCTCCGTACAAGGCACGAACGAGAGAAGCCATAGCCGTTTCTGTAAAATCAAAGGTGCAGACGTACGTCCCGATGGATTTGTCCATTGCAAAATCATATGGAGAACTGACCGCAACCACTATGAGCGACTTCTTTTGGCCGGTCCCACGAAGCATGTGGCACATCATTGCTACATGCTTTGTGAATCCAGTTTGGTACATATTCCGGTTAGCATCAGCTGTAACTATAATTATCGCCGATGCTCTGTTAATCAGATTCTCGTGAACTATGGATTTATTAGCTTAGTTCTAGCGTCGAGGCAAATATTCTTCTAACCTGGTCTGAGTCCATTTGCCGTATATGATGTGTGAAGAAGTTTACCATTGCGCATACGAGCTATTGATCTACCCAACTCTCGAAAGACGCCTTCTCCACTCATGATTGCTCCACGCTCCTGGTGAATCCATTTATCGTGCAGGGAGGGGGCTTTGTTACCCTTTTCCAACATGTTTTTAGTAGCTGCCGAAGCTGGCAGGGGCTTGACCAGTGGCGTCAGTAGTAAAAGTTCTTCCTCCTGGAGTAAGCTCTGCGAAAGGGGAAGTAGATTGTCCTTGTCCCGGACGACTGCAATTGATTGATCGTACGCCTTCCGAGAGAGTGCAAGATGTGTAGGATGTATCTTGGATAGTAACGATAATCCAGGAGGATTCAGTGCCTTCTGCCAAGACGTGCATACACTCTTCATCCGCAACACTCGCTTCAGGGAAGTATAGATCCGGTCTTTCGATATAATACCGTTCTCAACGCCTAACTTTAGCCCCGAAATGGCCTCTAGTTGTACGTCGTGTGCTCTGCATAGAAGCACTAGATCATTACCTGCCTCGACAGCCATTACAGTACCCCCTTTTACTCCGTATTCTTGTATAAGCGACTGCATCTCGAGGCATTCCGAGATGGCGACGCCTTTGAATCCTAGTTCGTTTCTCAGGAGGTCGTCTACGACCTGGTCTGATAGGCAAGCATGCATGACATTCATTCCAGCACTCTGGATCCCGCACCCACCGACAAACATGGCGTCTAGACGTCCAGCACTTATGGCATTCCGAAACGGTATAAGAGCACTGAGGTTAAGTTCTTCCAGAGTTTGAGTGATGATAGGCATGTCTAAGCTAGAACCGAGAAAGTCAATATTCCCGTAGGACGGGAAATGCTTCCCGCAGGTAGCTACGCCAGCATCCTTAAACCCGTTGATGACAGCGATGCAAAACTGAGATGCCTCTTGAGGATCGTCCCCAGTAGCCCGAACGCCGAGGGGTTGGTGTCGAGCATTGGTCAAGACATCTAAAACAGGACCGAGAATAAGATTGACTCCAACGGCAGAAATTTCAGTTGCTGTAGCTCTTGCTACGCTATAGGCCAACTCTGTGCTCCCCGTAGCAGCGACGCCCATCGCGCTGGGGAACTGACAGATATAGTCTTCATCAAATAGACTATTGACACCCCCATTTTCTTGGTCAACGGCAATTAATAAAGGTTGAGGGTGTCCTGCTTGGTGTGCTATTGTCTGAAGTTCTTGGACTAGAGAAGCAGTCTGCTCAGCAGCTATGTAGTATATAAGTCAGTATCCTCTTTATATAATACTCTATAAGTATCAATGTGGCTCTTAGAGATGAAAGTACATTTGAGATTCTTAGCTGTCAATATAATTGAACCTAAATGGTGGTTCTCGATGAGATTTCTGATTTGGGGTGTTACTTCTGTGCCATCCCATCCCATAATCAACATCTGGCCAATAGCCCTATAGGAGAGAATTAGCGAAGTGTTCTGGCCATACAGCCGGACCGCCCCGGCCGAAGCTTAGCCATGAGGCTCTGGGTGAAGAGGGAGTGTACCAATCGAGATTCTGCCATAGTGGGTCGAGTTCACTTTCCGACTTAGTCATTTTGCGGTCGTATTGTTACAACTTGATGCTATACTAGTCAAAGACACCCTGAACCAAAAAGATGTAAGCACGGAAGATAAGCACGGGTTATCTCCATCCAACAACAACGACAACAACAAGGGTAACAAGGAGTGAGAAGACTAAAAGTCACCAGACGGGTTAGTGTTAAGTTGGTGAAATTGGAGTATGTAGAGCGAGTGTGTAGAGCCTCGGGCAAAACACCCGATGTGGTGCAGCTCTCCTCGCGCGGTACGGCCGGTTTGGCGAGAATGAGAAAGGGCGAGAATAGAATTGACGATGGTAGACTACAGAATTACAGACTGCCTATAGACCCATAAGATCCGCTATAATGAGAATGTGGTGTGTTACTGACAGCTTACAGAGGTGGAGGGTAGTATAGGTAGGTAGAATTGAGATACAGAATAAGGCGGTAGCATGCATAAGCCGCGGATTTAGGGGCATATTCTCGATAAAACCCCTGGAGCCGCTTGAAACAGATAAGCAGTACATGGTACCTAATTCTGGAGAGGGCCGGAACATAGGGCCATTTTTGGGGAAACAGCGCTATTCCGCTTTAATTTTAGTTGCTATGTGCGAAGTAGTGTATGTATTCTCACCTGTATGTACCTAAGATACAATAAATGCATAGGTAATCTCTTCATCCGTAACTTTGATCTTATCGGGGCTTCTCCCCTCTAGAAACCTTCCCACCACTTCGCAACGTTACCTCTTAAACTAGGCACTACTACGGGCATCCTATGTAGGAATTCCACAGGCCATTTTTTTTCTTGCCTCTTACTTTTTTACAATGGATGGTCACAGAGAAATTGATCTA